GAAAAACATGCCAGCTTGTGTCTCACTCATTTCTAAAATTTAAATCAAAATATTAATTAAAGTATTTAAAATGCACTTAATTCACCCAACTGTTGAGATAAGAACACAAGAATTAAGAAAAAAGTACCAAAACAGATTAAGAAAACAACGGTACTTTGATTAAAAACAATACAATTTAAAGCTAATATGCCTTTGACAGTGGCACCCATTAAAAGGGGGTTGCAAATGTCAGCAAAAAATTAAAAAATGAACATGAGCCAGCTACACCAGCCACAGTACTTTTGCGCAGAACACCTTTCTGCGTAGGCGGCCAGTGATGTGACCTTGGGAAAGGATGAGGTAACTAGAATTCCCTTTCTGAGTGGTTAAACTGGGGCTGGCGCCCCAGTGATGTCTATTATGTATCAGCATTTAAAACTCTATTAAACCCCGTTCCTCGTTTTTCTCTATCGAAACGGTAGGTATTCTTTACTTATGCCAAAGTTTTTATTGGGGAATATGACCCCATACCGCCCTTTACTACTAATTCAACGCTGAACAGGAAAACGGGTACGATAAAAACTATTCTCTGTGGCAGCACTCTTCTAATGTCAGTGTGAAACCATGGTTGAATCAACAGTTCTGTATTCACAATGTGCGTATACATATATAAGTGCGTGATAATTATAAAAATTTACTTTATTTACTAAAAATACATAATAAATATAAAAAATATGTTTAGAAAAACACAGCGGTGGTAAAAAACGTACTTGGACGTCATCAGTTTAAGCAGGTATGCAAGTTATTATAAGAAACAATTAAGTTTAGTTGTAAGAGTTTGTATAAACCACGAAGTGTTCGATTAATTTGTCGGCCTTATATTAGTACCACCAACTATTAACCATAGAAAACTTTTGGAAAATAATTTTAAATATAGAGCGAGTCGAACAGAGTTTGGCGTTTCAGGTTTTTTCAAGATTTGTACCACAAATAATGTGTTTACCAAATAGTTTCAAATCAAAGAAATCGTTTGATAATGAAATGCTAGAGGACATTTTAATTACACAGAATCTCATGAAATTAAATAAATGTTCGTGCTTTAATTTTAAGCCTAATAAGCGTTTGCTTGAGTTTTTCGAAATGTATTCATAAAATTATTTCTACATAAACTGTTTATATGAATTTATATACATATGTACACATGCATATATTTTTATATTTGTATGTACTTAAATTTAAAAAGTGTCTTAAAAACGTTTAAATAAAATGTATTTACCTATGTATAAAATGATTTTTATATTAACGATCTCAAACCAGTTTACATTGAATTTTTACATGTGCTCTGTCGAAAAGACATTTTAATATACTTTACGTACATATCTTCGCTTAAAGTACAAAACCGCGTATCAACAAAGTGCAAAACCGCGTGCTAAGATAATACAAACCGCGTATGTGAGGTCGCATAAATTATTTTCTAGAGAGTAAAAACACTCATATTTCAAAATGGTCGCATTTCTGGCTAGTATATTTCAGGAGGAATGGATAATGATTGAGCCAAGAGCTTGTGTGAGCAAATTCAATTTTTGGCAGAAAATGTGAGTTACGCGGTTTTGCAGAATGACGATACGCGGTTTTGTACTTTAATCGACGATATGTACCTTTATATACAATAAAAGTTTAATAAGAACAATTCTGTGTGCATACATTTGAAAAAGACGTTTTTGGGTAGGAAATGACGTTTTTTCAGAACAAAAGGGACGTTTTCTCATGCCGAAGACCTGGCAACACTGGCTCCAATACTACCACCGCTAGGCCCAGGCACTTCAAATCCTTGGTCGCTCTGGGAAATACAAACAATTAAATTAATATGTGAAAAACATGATAAAATTTGATAATTATTACAGGAATACTCACTGACTCTGACTCTTCGAAATGTGCATTTCCAGCAACTAGCTGGCTTTGGTAATATGGATCTTAATAAGAAATAGTATTTTATGTGTTTCAGTTGATTACATATTTAGTCTGTTCCTTTGAACTTCGGACTAAAACCTGTGGAACTGTCAAACTACAATTTTACGCTCTCAAATGAGAGTAACATGAGAACAGATGCAGAAGTGTATAGGAACGCAAAAAGCACTATTTCCTGTAAAAACGTCAGTCGGTTTGTTTACAAATTACAAGTGTGAAGAAAATGGATGATAAATTAAACGTAAACGTGACGCCTGGAACCTTTAATAGGATTCAAAATGGTAAGTACAATTATTTAAGTGAAATATGAGTAATATATTAAATATTTTCAGATGAAGAATATATGCGGAAGTTGGCCAACAGTTTGCTTCAGGCACAAAGCGAAACGTATGGCGAAGTAGTTTTTTCCCAAAGAGGTAAATAGTGTATATTTAGTAAATATTATAAATGTATTTATTTGATCCTATTATTTCACAGAACTTCCAGAGGAAGTCTCTAGAAGCTTGCAACCTTAGGAAGCTATTGCGTGGACTTCTTCTACACTAAGTATTTTTGCAGTATGGTTTAGTTATTTGTACAACGATTTTGGATTGTGCTGTGCCTAAACGCGTGACCCGAAACAAAAAAACTTTTACACATACTTGTAGACAAGAGTCTACGCTTTATTAAAAACAAAAAGTGAATATATCTGTACAATAATTTTTTAATAATCGCGGTACTTTTTGCAAAATTCCGAGCTGAGCTGTCAAACACAAAAAAATATGTACGAAATATCTCTGTAAAGGTGTTCAGCCCTCTTCTTCGGCAACACAGGAAGGAGAATTCTACATTCTACTTAATAAGCGTTATAATCCTTTAGCAAAAATTCAAGGTTCCTCTATTTACAAACGCGCCCAAGGGGTCTGTGTGGGAGTACAGGGGGCAGTGGTGACTTTTCATAAAACATGGACTATCCTCTTTTGTTTAAGAGGGGGTTTGGAGGGCCATGCCACCTCCCCCTCCGCCCCACCTAAAAACCGATGTACAAATAACTAAACATTTCCCATTCTTGCTGTACACATATGTACATACGCACTTAATATTAATGCGGATTAACTTTTTTAGATGAAGATGAAGATTACGTTCCCATTGTGCCAGGTGAAAAACAGGCCTGGCTAGAAGCTCCCACAAAGCTAATGCTGTCCCTTTTGGAAGAACTTCGGCCTAAAGTGGGTAAATCACCCGCACTCCGAAATAAGGCCAAAATGTGGAAAATCATTGAAGAGAGGATGGGGGAGCAAGGCTATAGTTTCAATTGCTTTCAAATTGAAAACAAATTTAGGACTCTGGAGCGGCAATATAAAAAAACCATACTTAACAACAGGCAGAGCGGTAGAAGTAGACTTACGTGTCCTTACCAAAGGTTAGTATAACTACGTTTATGCGTTTGTCGTTTAACAAAATTCTTTTACTTTTACTTTTTACTTATTACTTTTTATTTATTCTTAATTTATTGATTTATTATTTATTCTTAGTTAATTTATTTATTCTTAATATTCCACAGTGAGCTGGATGCCATTCTAGGCGACAAACGATCTTTGAATCCTGAGTTCCTGTGGGAGAGCAACGATGCACCAGAGAACACTAGCGCAAGTTTAGATGGAGCTTCAGACTTAGAACAGTCCGCTGCAGGTACATCGTATAAGATATACTTACATATGGTATACTATATATAAGGGCTCTTCAGGATCTTGTGCATGTGCTCTTGCATTTGTATATTCGGTGCATTTGTAAATTTTCAACGATAAGATGCAATGGTGGCATGTTATTACGCACAAAACTTGCGAATGCAAATGCAAGACTATTTCCACAATATCCTCAGCAAATCCATGAAAACCAAAATTCGAAACTTTGTACAAAAACTAGGAAAATTATATAAAATTTCCAGTATAAGATGCAAGTTTGAAGTAGCTACAAATTATGGTTGATTTTTTACAATTCATTTTGTGAACGGTGTGGCCCACTTCTCACAAAAAATTTTTATAAAAACTAATTAAAAAATGTAAAGTTTCGAATTTTGACTTTTATGGTTTTTGTTAAACTATAAGCCAACTTTTTATAAAAAAATTACATAAGTTACTGGCAGTAACTGAAAATTTGATACTAATTACATTTTCAATAAATTTCTTTTCATGCAGATGATATTCCGAGCTGCTCCACAGCGAAAAAAAGAAAAACTGCTACTGACCGGATGGAAACCAAAATTTCTGATATAGTGGAGGAGAGGAAGGCATACCACAAAGAAGTGTTGGAGTTTTTAAAGAAAAAAGAGGAAAGGGAGAAGAGAAAGGAAAACAGAGAGCAAAGACAGCTCCAAATTTTAGAAGCAATTGCAAAAAAGCATAGCTGATTTGTCTTAGGCTTAGGGCCGGTTACTCAATGTCTGGTTAACACTAATCTCCGGTTAAACATAGTTATCGACGTTACCGATTCCCTGTTATATGCATGGAGTCGAAGACGTCGATAACGATGTTTAACCGCAGATTAGTGTTAACCAGACATTGAGTAACCGGCCCTTAATTTTCATTTTTTATAAATTTTAAGGTCATCATATGCAAACATATATAAATCCACATTTTAAAGGCAGTAGTAATATTAGAAAAATTATAAAGTTTCGCACTAAAATATCGAATCATAAGTTCGATATTTTAGTGAAAATTTGCGAAACTTTATAATTTTTAACCGACTTCCAAAAAATGAGGAGGTTATCAGTTCGTCGGAATATTTTTGTTTTATGTATGTTACCGCATAACTTTGGACCACGTCAACCGATATCGATAATTGTTTTTGCATCGGAAAGGTAGTTTCTCAGAGGTGGTCCCATACTAATCTGGTTGAGATCCGATCAGTGGATCATGAGATATATATATATAAAATATATTTTTTTTATATGAGAGTTGAAGTCTGTTTTTTTTTTTTGCTAAAAATTACTTGTTCTAATTTATTACTGCGTTTGAAATGTGGATTTATATAGTGCAAACTTGCCAAAATGTTGCACACCTATTTATTTTTCTATGGGTGATATTTACTTACAATGTCTTTCCTTATTTACACATCAAAGTGTTAATTGAAGCAATAGGTTAAGGTATAGAAATCACTTTATTTTTTATTTTTTGAAGTTTACATAAATAAATGAAGTACTTAGAAAATTCTATTAACGTCTATTGCTACGCATTTCAAATAAAATTTGGTTTCGAACTCGGTTGCTTGTATTTGGTTCGTTGCTAGGCACTTCTCCAATGGATTCGTTATTAATGTGTTCGTCCATAAACTCTAGATCGTTTTCGTTGGCAATATTATGTAGTACGCAACATGCTCCTATGAAATGGCACAACTTTTTCATTCCCCTCAATTTGCAGTAGTATAGTTGCCTGAATCGTTGTTTTAATATGCCAAACGAATTTTCTACAACAACACGGCCTTTGCTAAGTTGTATGTTAAAATATTTTTGGTCCCTAGTTAAATGTCCGTTGTCTTTGAATGGTGTTATTATATAGTCACTACAAGGATAAGCCGAATCTCCTAGTATATAATAGTCTACAAAATACGCATCTTTATATACATACACGTGAACACATTTATGATTTCAAATCATTACCTCCGCATAATAATGATAAATTCCTAAATACGGGAGAGTTTTGGAGAACCCAACTGTCGTGGCTTGATCCTGGAAATCCAATGAAAACGTTTAGAAACTTCTTCCTTTCATCGCAAATTGCCTGCATTACAAGTGTCACGTTGCCTTTTCTATCAATGTAATCGTCTTTGCGATCAGCAGGGGGGTCAATTACAATGTGCGTCCCATCTATACAGCCTTATATTAAAATAGAAAAGTTCATAAATACAAATAACATTCAATCATTTTTAAAATTTTTTACCTGTGCTTTTGAAAATCTAAACTTCGCGAAATAATTGGCGGTTTCTTGCTTTCTCTGAGTGCTGGGCCATTTAATGCACTCTGGGCTCATTCTACTAATGAAAACTGTCAGTCTTTCAATCGTACGGGAAACGCTAGAAATTGTTAGATCGAAGCGGTCGGCCAAGTCGCGGAAACTGCACGCTTCATGGCCGGCAAACCACAGAAACAAAGCTAAACTTTTGTCTGCTGAAAATCTCTTATTGGAGCGCAGATTTCTATATACGTTGCTTCCCTCATATTTCATTGCTAAATTGTTAAATAGCTCCCTCGTAATACGAAAATGTGTAACAAATTCTTTGTCGGTGTATGTGGGTACTACACATTCAAAGTAGTTTTTTATACAATTTCTGGGTGTTCGTCGAGTAACTTTTAAAATTTGTTCAATGACAGCAGCATCTTCGCTGTCAGAATTCCCAGCAAGCAGTTGATAAATCTCGTCGTCTGATTCGCTTGATGAATCCACGAGCTCTGCCACAATTGTATGTAAAATGTTGTTATGTTCGGAATCCTCCTGGTCATTACC